TGCGCGCGGGCGTGACGTCACCACAGTTGAAAAAGTGCGCGTCGACGGCGCGCGCGCGCACGTCGCGACGCGCGCGCGCGCGCGAACGCGATGGCGCCCGCGTGCTCGAAGAAACGCGTGCGCGCGCTCACGTCGAACACGGAGCCGATGGCGAGCGCGACGGCGCCGGTGATGTACTGGATGTCCAGGGACCAACGCGTGGATGATAACTGGGCGCTGTTGCGAGCGTGCGACCTCGCGCGCGAACGAGGGGCCCCGGTGGTGATCGCGTTCAATCTGTTGACCAAGTACCTCGGTGCGGGGGCGCGGCAGTTCGGATTCATGCTCAGGGGGTTGCGAGAGCTCGAGGCGAAGGCGCGCGCGGCGAAGGCGACGTTCGCGATGACGTACGGCGACGAACCGGCGGCGGCCATCGATGCGCTGGCGAAGAAGATCGGGGCGAAGACGATCGTGTGTGATTTTTCACCTCTGCGAGATGGTGTGCGATGGCGAAAAGATCTCGCGGTGTTGAGTGAGAAGCGGGGCGCGCACGTGGAGGAGTGCGACGCGCACAACGTCGTTCCGTGCTGGGAGGCGAGCGATAAGCTCGAGGTGGGCGCGCGCACGCTTCGAGGACGATTAGCGAAGCGATACCCGGAGTTTTTGAAGGAGTTCCCGGCGATTCCGGACGATCTCGTCGAGTACGACGGTCCCGCGATCGACGCGGTGAAGTGGGACGACCTCCTCGCCGAGGCGCTCAAGCGAGGCGAAGCCGTCCCGGAGGTGACGTGGGCCATTCCGGGTGAGACCGCGGCGAGAGCGGTGTTGGATGATTTCGTGGCGAATCGGATGAAACTATACGAAAAGCGTAACGATCCATCCAAGCCCCGGGCTTTGAGCGGTCTGTCCCCGTGGTTGCACTTTGGCCAAATTTCCGCGCAGCGGTGCGCGCTCGAGGCGAAGAAAGCCGTCGGTAAGGCGTCTCCAGCGGCGTACGATAGCTTCTTCGAGGAGCTCGTCGTTCGCCGCGAACTCGCGGATAACTTTTGCTATTATTGCCCAGGTCAGAAGTACGACGAGATGGAGGGACAAAAGTACGATTGGGCAAAGGATACGTTGCGCGCGCACGCGGGCGACAAGCGACCGTACATTTACACCCTCGAACAGCTCGAGCGAGCTCAAACGCACGACGATTTGTGGAACGCGGCGCAGCGAGAATTGCGCTATGGGGGCAAGATGCACGGCTTCTGCCGCATGTACTGGGCCAAGAAGATCCTGGAGTGGACCGAGTCCCCCGAACAAGCGCTCAAGTGGTCCATCTACCTGAATGACACGTATTCTCTTGACGGTCGCGATCCGAGCGGGTATGTCGGCTGCATGTGGTCCATCGTCGGTGTTCACGACCAAGGTTGGAAAGAGCGCGAGGTTTTCGGTAAGATTCGTTACATGGCGTACGACAGCACGAAGAAGAAGTTTAACATTCCAGACTACATCGCGCGCGTGAACGCGCTCGTCAAGGCGGCCAAGTCTGACTTCAAGACGGGCGAGAAATCATCCGCCGCGAATCCTGGTCTGTTCAGCATCGATGTCTCGGGCGTGAAGCGTAAGGCGGACGCCATGGCGTGATGAACTACTATCGTTACAACGTCTACGCGCCTGTACATCAAACAATCATTCTTTCATTCTCGCTGCGTCCCGAAGTCAAATCACATCCGTCGTCACGAACGTGTTCCAAATCCACCGCGTCACCGCGTGAGACATCAATCCGAGCGGACCGAACATCATACACAAAATCAAAGAGTGCCTCACCGGCACCCGCGCCGCCAAATCTCCCACGCTCGCGCTGTACTTGGCCCCGTCCACGTACACGAATCGCGCCACGAACAAATCCAACGAAAGCAAGTGCACCCACGCGCTCGTCGCCGTCTCCGCCGTCGCCAAGAACTCACTCACCAACGTCACAAATCTCGACACCACGCCCTCGTTCGAGTTCATCAGCACCCCTCTCGCCGCTTCGAACACATCCGCGCTCTGTAACGACTTCCACGCCGCGTGCGCGTACAACGCGCCGAGCGCCCAAAATATCGCGCGCGACTCCACCGCCGCCAGCACCCGCCGTGAGTTCGGTCTCGCGATCATGACGCAGTACGTCGGCACCACCATCGCCGTCGCGATCGCGAACACCGCCTCCGCGGACGCCCGCGCGGGCGTCGTCGCGCCTCGTCGTCGTTCGCCGCGCGCGTGCACCGAAGACTTTTCCATCGCGCGCGCGTCTCGCGTCCTCGCGCGCGTCGCCGTCGACGCCCGCGCCCGAGGGGCCGTCGCGCACGCGCGCGCCGACGCCGCGCATGGTGCGCCCGAGCGCGGACGGCGGTCCACGCCGCG